CAGACGCCTGTGTATCAGGTTCTGTTTGGACGGTTGAGATTGTATTTCTTACGAAATCTACTCTGTCACCTGGAGTGAAGCAATGGAGAGCTGTTCACGACGGGTTTTTATTCTTTGTCAGGTCTAGTGTTACTTCAGTAGTGAGAGCAACCATGAGTACAAATCAGGTGCCTAGCTTACATCCGCTGAACCGACACTTAATCGATTTGCCATAACGCAATGTTCCCTTCACATGCCAATACACAATGAACCGGTTAATTCAACCCTGAAAAGTGGTGGTCGTAATAAAAAGGAGAGAGAGAGTTTGGAATCTCCCACCCTCAGTAAGTTTCATAAACGCTTACAGACGATATATACTAGTATGCAGAAACTGTCCTGTCCATTTTTAGTGTCTTTATTATACCGGTTGAATGTCTCGTTCTTGGATGTCCAGTGGATATGGATCAGACTATCACACTGACAATTTTCGTATCCGTGGATTTGGAATCAATAGGTGACAAAACTCACAATATGAAAATTTGAGTATTACGAACTTTAGGGTCATATTTGGTAGGTGTTTTGCGAATTCTTTTAGAGTATCCGACAGTGATGCACTGACCGTCTGTTTGCAATGATCACTTTCATGAATACAGGTTTGAACCATGCGTGAAAATGGACGACGTGGACGAACATTCTGAATTGAATCTGACAAAAAGCACACAGATTACATTACTTGAGATAGAGTGTGCGAAAACAAATCCGGCCGAATGGTGATCCGGTTGGAATCTCACAATGATAAATTTAGATAAACTGGCTCCTTGAGCTATGCCAGGAGGGCTGAAGGGGGGCAACCAAACAAAATCAGGAAGCTCCGTGCCACAATTACTGGCCACATGAGATGTTTTGAGGGTACAGTTGTACTGCCGTACTGCCATCTGCCGCAGGAGTGTGAAGACGGCGATATGGCCCTATCCTGATGAAAAATTGACTAGAAAAGTTTCACCGTAAAACCACTCCGGTTGCCTGTCAAGCGGGTTACTGTCACTGTCGGGGCATTCCACACTACGGTGGATACACTTTAATTTTAAGAACTTAATGGTGCTTAAAAATACCTGCTAAACACAGTTGCAACAGAGGTCTGAGAATAATGCCCTATTTCCTATGTCTCACAATTAAGGGGTTCCAATTAGTTTCGGAGAAAAGTTGTCTCAAGAAAACCCTAATCCTGGTCGGGTTGTAAAGTTGGAGACCATGGGCAGGACTCCGAAACAAACCTTAGTCGTTTCTTCATGCATTGTGTTCCACACTTTTGAGTGAGAGACTCAAACACTTCCCTTTGTTTGTTCTGAGCAACTGAAAAGTAACATCTACACATACTGTAGGTGTCTGACTCTTAATTCGTCAATTTGGACACACTGCTAACGGCTTCTATGCAATCCCACCTGTTCGCAGTCCTGTTAAATCAGTGACAACTGGCTTTCCACGGAGAGAAAAGTAACCAAGATATGCACTACTAATGCTAAGGCACCCGTTCAGGGTAACAACGTCTAATGCCTGTACTTTATCGGATATTTCAACACATCAGTATTGTTCACATCAGTTTCTCTTTATAAGCATGCTGTGTCCCTAAAATTGGCATGCAACCCATATCACTGTACCACATTTGACCACGGTCCAGTGCAACTCACTCTACTTACAGTTTACTCCTCAAAATTCAGGTGGTCCAGTAGCGGCGCCCCATGATCTCTGATGTGGATATTTCATTAAATAAAAAACTTAAGACGCTCTGTTTGACTGGTTCCCTGTGCACAATGGACAAAGGAAGTCAGACTGACTGGGTCTGCAGAAATCCACAATCCAAAGCCGAAATCTGTGGGTCTCGACAAACTGCAGCAGCTACACTCTCGGATGACCAAGTGCACGGATATCATGAGGCTAGCTGGCCATTTGAACATTCAGTACGGAGGAATCGACAAGCATAAGGGCTATTTCAGTGGAAGATCTTGCGTACATGCCCTTGGCTACTGGGGTATGTAGTGCCCACAATGTTCCGTCCTCAAAATATTCTATCAGTATTGGCCTTCCAGGCAACCCAAAAACGCGAAAAAATGGCCAAAAAAATAAAGACTGGTACAGAATCCGATAAGCTATGAATTCAGTTTTTCGCTAGGTGCGTCCAAAATCGAGGCCATAGCCCAATCAAGGTTGAATTTCATTGCTACACTCAGAGAATGCGTCCCACCATAATGGCTACGCGCTTCAGGTAGACTACTTTTGGGACGACAGTTAACCTGCTGTCCCCATACCGGGACAAATGGTGGCCAACGTACGCCAAGGAAATGTTCGTGGTGATTGGAGGTAGTCGCATTTTTTCCTCGCTTATCCACAATATCCGTTCGAGGCAGTCACCAGTCGGAGACGTCGTTGCAGGGAAGGACAGCTCACAAGTCCATTCCAAGTCCAACCGTCTCTTTCTGTGGTCGGAGCCGTTCGACGAATGACTAAGTCAGCCTGAGCTGCCCAGCGTGACAAACAACCTACCACTAACTCAACCCTGAGAAGTTCACTGTTCGATTTCAACAAAAGGTGGGGTCAGAAAAGAAATCTAACATTTGATCAAACATAGTGACCGGTCGCTCCAGCTCGCGTCATAACTGAATTATTTAGCACAGCTGCATTTTACAGCAAACGCTCGAACATATCCACACACACTGAAGACCACTACGGGGTTCACACTTGCCTAATGAGCCAGAAAAATAGTGAAATCATTTGCGAGATGTCAAGAAATTTCCAGAAGTCCTATGAATAGTTCTGTATTCTTGCATCTAAAGATATAGTTCAACTCAGTTAATCTCACTTTACTTTAGCGGTGTCACCCTTTCACTGTTGTAGCGGCCATTTGACTTCTCAAACCATTATGCCCAAACACTCGTTGATGCGTGAAAACCAAAGGGGAAATTCTTGTGAGTCTATTACCAAAGGCTTGTTTTGGTCTCTGTCAGAATAGGCCCTTCTGGGATTGACCCGAAGTTAGCCTTCTGAGGAAGGCACAGTCTACAACATGGCGGTAAATCCAGTGTTGCTAATGGTCGTTATGTCTAGTCGCAGTGTGTTGAAGACAAGAGATTGCTTGTATTTCCCAACAATCGTCTTTAAAACATGACATATATAACTAGGACATCGAATGAACAAGAATAAAGTGCGATAAAGTTTTTTGGAAGCACACCAGCCTCTGTCCTTTTGGTGAATTGATTTGGCTGCACCAAATATGCCTGCTCGGCCGTGTGCCCTGTATGCTGGTTGAGGGATTGCCTCGCCGCTCTCTGTTTGTTGAATCAGGTTCCTTCCGGAAGGTATCAAAAAGAGAGCAATACACAACTAGTGGATGGAGCAAGAAACACCTGACAAAAGTTCTTGTTCGCACTGATGCATTTCATCTGCAATGGTGAGGTATCAGAGATTCCACTGCATCAATGGCGGTGCCATGGTGCGTATTCATTCGTTTGTTCTTGGTCAACAGCTCACCGCTTCTTTTTTTCTGCCATTTGTTTTTCCGTACGCAGTCTTTATCATTAGCTGGCATATCTTTGGATACCCGAATCATTCTAAATATTTACTTATTTCATGATTAACACACCTAAGTGAACTGAACCTTTAATGGCGCGTAACATAGCTGGTTGGCGACATTGGGATCTGGTCCAAAGCAGAACAAACATTGTCTGCCAAACGTCCTCACTTTATCTCCGGTAGAACTGTACGTCACCAGGGAAACTGTTATGTAGGTAAGACAGGTCGTGTGTTCTTTCAGTTATAACTTTCTGTGTTAGGCTGCTAGACAGTAAACGTACTAATGTGTGTGCTCATGTCCACTCTCCGCATCACTTGTTCATCGAAACACGACGCACATGTTGGCCAACATTAATCACGTGGTGAAAGAAACTCACGCTGGTCAATGGGGGCAATGATCCTGGAGTAGGCTACCGTCTTACTTAATTCAGAGCAGTTACCTAGGTACTGTTTCGAAAAAAACCGTTCCTCAAGAGGTAGCTAAAACCGTTGATTACTGTGGATATAACATTGAGAAATAATGATGGAGGCACGTTTAGTTACGGCTCACTTGGAGCACGAGGCAAATGGATTCATACTGCAGACGTGGACTAGTTGAAACCTATTGAAAATGACAGATAACACTGCTTATGAGTAGTGACGGAAATAAAATACTTGTTTACGCAGTTACAGCATTTTTTAGCCAACATAAAATTGCTCGAATTAGTGAATATTAATGCAAATACTTAGTCGTAGGGGTCGTAGAAGTCTGACGGATGTGCCACAGTATTCCTACAAACGCATGCTGAAAGCACCCGGATTATCACATTTGATCATGCAACGGTGTTAATGCGTGACGCGCCAGACATCGTTTATTGTAGCTGTTCTGACTCTTTTCACGGAATCTCCTGGCTAGACATTACTACAAAAGTTTGTAACAATCAACCCTGAACAATTTCGTCTATGAAGTTATGAAAACCTATGCAATTTCTGCATGCGCTTGTACGATTCGGCTACACGTTTGCTTCACTTGTCAGATACCCATTCCGACTGGCCATGTACGTACGCTGCTGATAGGCGGAGATCGAGTTTAGTGATTCCCCTATCTGCCGTAAAATAACAAGTACAACCAATGCATCACAGAAAGAGCTACTATGTACATGCACTATTGTTCGCGGTGAGTGCAATGTGCACTCACATCGCCGTCATTCGAGCGACCGGCCCGCACTTGTAAGCACTTAAGTTATACGGTAAAATTTAGAAGAACTGTATCAAATGTAGCGAAGGCTTCAGTATAGAAGAATGTTGTCAAGTGCTAAAGCTGACTGTATATGTTATAACAATAAAGCAACACACTTTCACTACACCGAAGTTTCAGACATGCCAAAAAGAAATCAACGCGGTTCCTACTCACAAAAGATTGATTAATTACTTTGGGTATGCTTTGGGTATGGAAATGCACAACCCAAACTCACTTCACCCAATAGCTCGACAAGTTGCTTCAACGCTTGATTGATGTCATCGTTCACAATGACCGCGTCAAATTGTCCGTCCGAGATACCTGTACACAAACACAGGAAGCACGTACCTTTTTTCAGAGGAAAAATAAATTTGCTGATTCCGGTTACATAGGGGAGTGGAGTTTCGTAAGTCAGACAAATAATCAAGAAATCCAGTGCTGATGATCACTTTTTTAAAACAAGAATGACAAGTCAAAGACAGATTAATTATCTATAACTCAGTAGTCAGCACGGGTAATACTGAATTCCATTAATATACAATGGATACAAGGCCTTCGGCCAAGGTCGAGTTTTCACTCAAGTTAGCGATTCAATAAAACACAGCTTCACTTCTAAATACCGTGATATTGCCACAGAACTATCGTGCTTGACTTGAATTACTGTACACCGCTGCGGTGCACGGATAACTTCACTGCACTTGGCATAGCTGATAGGGATTAGGGGTGGTCCATGTGATGGATGTACCGTAAGAATTTATGCAATGGAGTTCTGAGAATCGCAATGTGTATTTAGTCTTATTGGAAAGCTGGTGGGCCCCTTAACACGCTTCCATTTTTTTAAGTTGCCCAATACATGCCGTTCAACACTTTTTTGCGGTGGTTATTTGTAACTCACTGAGAGGAATTTCATTTTTATCCACAATACTTTCTTAGTATGCAAGGTGCAAATGACAGTGAATGACCACAATATTCATGCATTCTTAAGTGAGACTTGGCAATGTTTGGAGCCACCGGTCCCGTTAGACCAAGGCTGTGGAAGTTGGCATTTTTAGCATGATGTACCCTTTCCACGTAGTACTGCATTATGTTTAACTACAACTTAGACAGGGAGCTAACCTTGGTAGTGTTTTCAAGCAGTAATGAAATACATTTCCAGCTAATGGTGACCCCTATTTTAACGCCGAACACCAGTCAGTTGAATGTTTCATAGAGTCAACCTCTATTTCTAGCAAACCAGAAAACTAAGGACAGCGGTATTATGCGCGATATTTTATTTTAAATGGACGAATTTTGTGGGCACTGTGAGCAGGGAAGCATAAATAACTTCAGAAGTGTTGCTAAATCCATTCGTTTACAACTTAATTTAATTTTAACGGGAGACTTGGCTGAATCCTGCCTGAATCACTCGTTGAAACTATTCGTCAAGTGGATGTGCTGGAGAAAAGCAGCTTGCTGGTTCAACTGGCATAGTATTCGAAATGCGTCCGTTAATCTCCCTAAGGGAACATACTACTAGTTAGATTGCTGAAAAATCCTCGGCAGCCAAGGACAGGTTTAACCTGCATTTGGGCAACCTCATATACCACTGCCGAAACCTGTACCAAGTTTTCTAGGATTTTCAGCATACCTATGAGTAGTGACTTGTTTTAGCTTGTTGTTTTGCCGGTCTAAAAATATCCATTTTATTGTCACCTGTCATCGTTGGTAAGTCAGACGAAAAGGCACTTATATCGCTCAGCAATTACACTACTACCACTTCAATCCACAGTGTATCAGTGCAGAATCCCTAATGACAGAGTGACAGAGGCTCCATTTTGTCCTAATGGCAATGTGAGATAGCAAAAGTAAAAGCCTACAGTGCAACTGATGAAACATTCAGAAAGGCGGCAGAGGACTAACTGGACAAAATATTATGGTACTAGAGTGCGAAGACAGCGGCGGTTATTCTGCGCACTGAGCTGTGCATTTTGTTTGCACATTTGTCACCAACCAGGGTGATACCATGGGTGTGTAGTAAGTTGGCGCTATGTTGTACTTTGTCGGCATGTGGGCGTTGAGCAGTGCTGTAGTTGTGCGTAAATGTATCTGAGTGACGCACCCTTATTCAGGGTGCCTGCCTTCATAGGAAATTTTCCTACCTCAAGTCTACCGCTTTGTGCTTGCAGTTTTTCTTGTAGGTATTCTCCCATTTCGAAAGCATCTACTTGCTAAATAATTTTTCTATTCTTTGTTCAATTTGTCCTTTGGTTTTATTAGCTAAATGAGCGTCATAGTCACACGGGTTTAGGCATTGTAATTGGGCTTAATTTTTTCTTCTCTAAGTCAGTCCGATTTCTCCAGGTACAGAATAAACAGGAAAACTTAAACAAAGCGAAAGATTTGATATATTTGGACCGTGCATTCAGCCACTAAATTAATAGGCCAAACTACATCGAAAAAGACTCCCATACAGTTCGTCGACCAAACGCAGAGAAAATTATCATTATTTTCCAGGTCTCGTCAAAACAACAGTTAACAAGTTAGGTATGTTCCCCGCAAAACCAAGTTGCATAACGGGACACCATCGAAAAAAGTGTTTTATGTGACGTAATCCTGCCAGTGATTTTCTCAAAGATCCGTCGTTACTTTTAGCCCACCCTTGCTGTCACAGCAATAAACATTTAGGCACTGTGTATTGCTCCGAACTGTCTGAAGCTAGCCGAGCAAAATTAAGCACAAACGCACCCATCCGGATGGCTTGAAAAACTTGCAACTTCTTAGAATCACTCCAAGTACAGAAATGTTACTGGTAGACGGTAGCTTACCATACTGCATTTCCTGATGAGCCACTGCGAGGTGCTGCAAGATACGATCCTCAGTTTCCGTGGAACGAAGTCGCAATCGTTTTTCCTTGGGACAGAGATTGAAAGCGCCTGAATTAGTGATTGATAATCCTAAGCGTGAAGTCTAATGACTTTAACAAAAGTAGCGGGAACACAATGTCCAGGATGGATAGGCGTTAAGTCATGCATGAATATCTTGGTCTTGTTCGAAGGGCTTAGGGCACCGTTGCGCATATACATTTGCATTTAAGGTTTCTGACAAAACACTGTCAATATTTTAATCTTTAAGATTACGCAGCTGTGCGCATCACTAAACGAATACTTCCCATTGGTTAATCAGAAACCTCATACTTGCAATTTGTGATGAAAGAAGTTAGTTTATCAGCAAGAAACCGGTCACCGTAAAAATCAACTTGCGTTTAATCAGACTGGGGGACTTTAAATCACACCGTACGACAATGCGTACAATCGTACATGTGCACCAAAAGCTATCTGTTATGTATGCGAATAGATTCGTCGCTGATTTGGTTTGCTATACAGGATGGTAAACATATTCCATGAATACCATTTTCTTCACCCAACTCATCTTACTATAAATATGGTACGATGAAAACGAATTCTTGTATCAAAATCAAGTCATATTCATCCATGTTTGTCTTCATATTTCAAGGATAAAGGTAAAACAAGTAAACCTAAATGACAGCTGGATAAGTAGTAAATAATAATTCCATTTTCCGGGGAAGCGTGTTTCTCATCCGGTGAATGTGTACCCGTTGCCATCAACATAATCAAATGATATACAACGGCAGTTGTTGGGGCCTGAATTGTGAGAGTCAATTATGCCAATGAGTATACTTGATCTTTTTCAATCACATGCATTTACGCTGTAACATTGTGGCACACAGAACCAGAAAAAGAATCATTCAAATGAAAACTACTCACAAGGTTGCGGAAAACTCTTCGACACCCAACGACCGGTTTCGCCCTCCTTGGGGCTCATAGGTAGGCGCAGTCCCCGAGTTTCCGTCAACCTTATGATCTGCTTGAACCCAAATTGGACTGTTTCCGAGAAATACACTCATTTGCAAATCAATTTGGTTTTCACGAGAGACTCAACTGAATCTCTCATTTATGGTATTCTACAACTGAATATGCAGCACACAGGCCGCCTCATGATTCAGTCGGCACAATATTCCAGATATCGCAGTATATTTTCATAAAGCAAACTACTCACAAATTGATTTGCAAATTAGTGTATTTCTCGAAAACAGTCCAATTTGGGTTCAAGTAGAACATAAGATTGACGGAATCGCGGGAATTGCGCCTACCTGATGTGCCCCAAGGAGGGCGAAACCGGTCGTGGTTTGTCGAAGGGTTTTCAGCAACCTTGTGAGTAGTTTCCTTTATGAAAATATAGTGCGATATCTCGAATATCGTGCCGACTGAATCATGAGACGACCTATGTGTAGCACATTCAGTTGTAGAATATCATAAACGAGAGATTCAGTTGAGTCTCTCGTGAGAACCAAATTGATTTGCAAATTAGTGTATTTCTTGAAAATCATTCAGTCGCTTCAAAACAGCGGACATGCGGTCAAGTTCACAATTTCAGCACAAAAAGCGTCCTATTTTTCGTAACTGACACCATCAGAACCCCTTCAATGGTGTCCTCAAACGGTCACATATCGTCAAAGGATAAAGGATATCAACGGCGACAACCATAAAAAGCAATCTTTTTGTGGCCTTATTTCATACAGCCTGTTTATGCTTGAGGTGCTTGCTAGTATGATGCTCACCATGGAGTGATTTTGATGGGCGCCTTTAGAAAGGTATACCAGCTTCCTTAAAGCCAAGAAAGATCAGACGTGAAAAATATTGCTTGTCTAATTCATCAAGACGGGATATAAAATAGCAAAGCGACTCACAAACCTCACCAGTACTTACTACCGGCTTGATCTAGCTTTCTTCCTTTAAAAACTTCAAGAATAATGTATTTGGCCCTATCCCACCAATTTTTCGCGTTTATTTCACCCTACGCATGCAGTATATGCAGATGTGTTGTATAAGGGCAAACATGATTGTAGCCTAGTGCGTTATGCCTCAGGGACCGTTCGATCATATTTGCGTTGTCACACTTCCCAAAGACAACTCAGTCCCTGTAATAAAATGTACCGAGATAATGGACATTGACAGAGCGCGCTCCGTAGCTGCTGATCCTAAGCATCCTTAATAGGATATTCACGCAAACTGTTCATAGTTGCCATGCATTACTCTAGGTCCAAATACGAGCAGTTGTGTCTTGATTGGACTGACGATTCGACGTGTATTAATTTGCAACCACCACTTTTCAGCAATCATCAAAAGAGTAAGCAACGTGCAAAAAGTAGTTTGGACTAAGGTTATCTTCTGATCTGCCATGATATGATGAAAGGTGACCAGGATTTTTCATCGTGTGAGTCCTTTAGGTTTCGCTTTTTGTAATAAAACCTTGAATTTTCGTTACTGTCCTGGCCACAGTAGTCTTTGTTCACCATTTCTTGGAATACTAAAGATTAACTTCATTATCATCAGAAACTCCATCGGAGTGATTTCCTCGCCAGGTGGTATCTTACTCATACCTTGATGAATAGATGTATCAAAACTGGATGTGATACTTTCAGCACGATTCTGCGTTATTTTACCGATCCCGGACATGCTAAATTACAGAACTGTCTCAATGAGCACGTGCGTACTTTGTACGTTGGATACAGTATTGTAATTGGCTCGACACAATACCCCACCTTCATTTCTTAGTTTGGAATTTTGAAATTTTTGGCTGGTTTCACTTAAATTACCTATCATTCATAAGCACTCTGATTTATAGGCCCTGCTTTGGTAAGTCTTTGAGGTAGGCCTTGGTAGGTGTTTTTCAAATCCGTCAAAAAAGTAGCATCACCTCTGTGTCTTGCACTGTGTTTAGCCAATTACATCATGGGAGTACCTACATTGAGTAGTAGAACTAGAAAGGCACATGCTGTTTACATGCATAAAGATCGAAGTTTCTATATATCCTTGAATTAAAACAGCGACAGTGGGAACAGAACAGGATTTTCGGTCACCTCGTCTCGTAACTCATGTCCGGTTGGTGAACTGTTTCTGAATCCCACTCAGCACGTTATGTTTCTTTGTTTGTAACAGCACTTCTCACTTGGTATTACCAAACACATGGCAACATTAAAAAACAGATTCATCATTTTCGCTCAATGCAAAGTCCACCGAATGGACCAGCTTCTTTCAGAGACTTAACGTAGACAGCGATCGGCGTGAGTCCTCAGCAAACGGAGAAGTTTTCGTTCCACGTAATAGTAAACTTTGGAATCGTCTTAGGGTAGAAGATTTACATGCTGTTGGTCCAAGCTCCGTGGGTTCTCTCTCGGCACCGTTATTATTGTTATCACCGGCTGTGATCATCCAGCAGTCCACAATTTCCTCGTAAGTTGACTTAGATAAGGCCGTCGTCCCAGCAGCGAACAGTACGTAGAATAGAATATCGGAACCACTGGCTTTAAGTTGCTGTTTAGGTTGCCTGAGCAAGAACATAAACTTGCCATAAGTTTATGCTGTTGGGTGGTAGAATTGATGTGGATGGATTGGGGACACCGATTTATTTGAGAATAAGGCCGTTCTAGTCAGTGGTTTGAGATGAATGAGTGTAAAATTTACTGCAGAACTGCTCCACTGCTTTCCACATCTTACTTCTGTGACGTTTTCATGTGCAAATTAATTGGGTGTTTGGTGTTTACTCCAACTGGTCCTTTAAATGTCCTCGATCGTATTCGGCTGTCAATCATTAGGCATATTTTTTACTTCCAAAGCGGGCCTAAAATCCTGTCGGCTGTTGCGCAAATTGTCTTCGCTGGACGACATATATCAAAGCAAGAGCTGACAGCCAGTCAAACGTTCGCAGCCTACAGAAATTTGTTGACGAGGGAAGATGGAGATAGATGGAGTCAGATATCCTCTTCTAATACCGGCCGGTGTCCTGTCGTAAACAATTCTTTTGTTTAAGCACTCAATGTAATTCATGAAGTAGTCATCATTATTCTCGGAATATACTAGGAGGTATGGGGCCTGCATTCATTGTGGTCTAGCTGAGCGCCCAACCGAGTGGGATGGTTAAGAACCATGAAGTGCAGAAGAGAAGTTGGTAAGAGTCAAGTAAGTTCACCTAATAAGTTCAACCAAACTGCCCAACTTTCAAAGTGCTGCAGGAAAAAAGTGATGAAATGTGAAAAATTAAATCAATGCTAGTCCACCCGAAAGCCTCACATGACAAATAAGTTGCATGTTTATGCCCACGAAGTTCAAGAACGATGTCTTTGAGGATTCTCTAAGCTGTGACCAAACCCGTGCACTTAAGTCACACCACCAAAAACACCTAATCTAATTCAAACAGCAATCCAATAAACTGGGAAGCCGACATGGTTAATTGAGATGACAGAAAATTTCTAAAAGTGAATTCTGTTTGAGCTCAATTACGCGGCACGTATTAGTGTTCAAGAGGAAAAAACTCACGGAAAAATAAATACTCACAAAGAACTTTGAAAACGAAATGGATGTAAAAACACTTCCGAGTTGCTAATGGAGCAATTAATTATGAGGCGTTTACGCAAACGTAGGATGTTTTTTTCGAACTGAATGACACCCTTTTACTCAAGAATGGAACACATTTCTAATCACAGAACAAGCAGGAGGTTGACAAACTATGCAACAACACGAGAGTGGGGCGAGCATTCGAATGAATCATCAAGGGCTTTAGAAACAAATTGGCTCACGCAGTATGATTCTTATTCAAAACATATTTGTATGGTAGACATTCTCTGTGTCCAGGTGAGTGTCCCGTCAAAACCAAATGGGTGTCCACGTGAAAAATGCTAATGCAGATTCGGTGGTCTGGATTCTACTTGGAATTATGACCTATGAATTAAGTAGACAAGTCTAATGAAGTATTGTGAATACGGGAAAGCAATCCATGAGGGTGTCGCTGTAGATTTGACCAATCACTGAGTTTCTGATTTAACCTGAAATAAGGTGCTGATTTTTTGTTTCTGGAACACGTTCTCATTTATGACCGATATACCTCTAGAGCTACATCTATGGAGACCATACGGATCGCTTCAGAGAAATTTTAAATCAAAAGAAAAACGCAATTCTCAGACGATATGGGAGATCCCTAACTGTTTTTCCGGAAGATGCCGAATGATGCTTATTCAACTAGGGTGACAACAGGTAACGGTAAAACTTTTCAGATACTTTTGAAATTTATTCTGGATGTCAAGCGTATCTCACCGGGGAAACAAAGAAAACAGACTGATCGGCAAACAAAAGTACCCAAGACCAAACGATCCTGCCGACGGCACAAAACTTTGCCGCATTAGCACGCGAACAAATTGAAAACGGCCTTTATTAGTCTCAAAAAGTACTCAATGTCGTGCAATTCACCGCTTTGTTATGAGAATCAAACTTAATTGTGCGTGCTACGTCCGGAGGAAAATAACCCGAAAAATTATACCCGTAATATTTTACTTTAAAATTGCACTGGCAGATGTGAGTTGATTTTGAAAAGCACTTTGTGGTTGAAGAGGAATGATAAACTCAGCGCCGTAAATGTTTGCCTTCTGTTTCAGTTTCAAAGCCAGGAAGAAAAACCACCTCAAAACAATCTTCTTGTATCTTTGAGATACTAAGAAGCGTTTGGGAAATATCATTTGAATGAAACGCTTCCCTGCTTTCATTTGGATTCCCTCAAGAATATTTTAGTCAAGTGAATTTATTTCTAAATTTTCTATTGTATATTACTTTTCCGATAGGCAGCAGAAAGCTGCTTTTATTATCTTGAGCAAGTTCACTTCTAGCCAACTGAAAATGAGTCTTAAACACGTGAAAACCGTGCATTTCTCCACGATTTACCGTCAATGCTTCTCATTGCGGTAGTGTGATAATTTTCAGTATACTTCGATTAGATCGTAAGTGTTATCACTGCACGTTCACTTTATGTCAGGCACTGGTAACGTCACTCCTCGGAAACGTGAAGCTTGTAGGTCAGATCTGCGTCCTCGTGTCAAATGAGAAACTTTTCAATGCACAGTAAAGCAACGGAGCTGTTTTCCTCATCAGCCATGATGAATCTGACCAAATTAGGAGAGTGTGCTGATCGAACCCACGGGTGTCACAACAAACCGGCCTGGTCATCTGAAGTAAACGGAGACCAATACATGTGAAAAGAAGCTACAATTGAGGTCGCATGTTTACTTAATTTGAGAATAGTGGAGGGATTTATAGAAGTTTGAAGCCTGATTGAACACAACTTCCTGTGTACCAGTGCGATTATATCGTTAATTCCATGGTAAGGGGATGAAGTACTGGATTCGCTCATCAGCAGCGCGTGTTCCTAGGCGTTTCTGGATTTGAACACTGAATATCTAATTTGTCAGGCAAGTTTGCCTCTGCTATGTCACCTAAACATGAGGGTTTGTGAATTATCATGCATGAACAAACAACTACGTTTACTATAGGGGAAATTGTTGGTAGCTCAGGTATCGTAGATGGTGGTGCTTGTTTGCTGAGCTGGGCAATTTGATTGCAAAACGTTTCATCCCAATCGAGGTGACATCATCAGTGCGTTATTGTGGAGCGTACAGAGCGCTCAGCGAACAAGCCAACAACCACGTTTACGACTGGGTAATCTGATCGATTTGCCAGGCGTCTCCAAATGATGACTCATTTTGAAACCAGATGGAAAATTTCTGACTAACTGAATCTGGCTGTGCGTCTCATGTACTCTGATTCACTTCGCATACGTCTGAACAATTCTGATGCTGCACAGGCGCAATTCTTCTGTCTCTTTACACCAGAAATTAGAAATATTTGACATGAATTTTACCCGCCTTAGGCGGCATGAGCAGTATAAATCATTTGCCATGCCTACAAGTGAATATCGGATATCCGATATTCAAAGCAATTCAGTATAATCACCAGAATAGTTGTACCGGGACAGGACTAGGACCGTTTGAATGGGAGTGACGTGAATGGTGTGCAATTAATTGCCATTTCCCATAGAGTCATTTGTTGTCGCAGAGCAGCAGGTCGGCCCATGCAAAGCTATCTGCCAAGTCAGTTTGATGAAATTAGGACGACCAAATAAGTAAAAACTAGAGGTGCAGTGATCCAGCCTTTCCGAAATTCGGCCAAAATGGTGCATCGTCGATCCCCGTTAGTTATGGGAACACCTAAAACCGACTACAATTGCCACTACAGTAATGTAAACAGTAATCACACTTGTCGGTTTCTAAGACAATTTCGGCCAACTGCACTTGAATATCGTCTCACTCATCTATATAACCAGTTGTTTACTGGATCCTTAAAAGACACTTTAACTGCACTTGAATATCGTCTCACTCATCTATATAACCAGTTGTTTACTGGACTCTTAAAAGACACTTTAACTAGCCTGTGAAAGCGAGTAAGCGTTGAGTGGTTCATTTGTTTTCGATCAGTTGACTAATGCTAATAATCGGGATGGGAATTAACACAATTCACAGTTTTCTGAAGCGTCACCTCACCCAACTGGATTGCCGAAATCAACCTACGGTTCCAGTAGATAGGCAAAATAGGATTAATAAATCAACCATCCCACCACAGGCAATCTGGATTGCTTGATCGATTAGTGGGGGGGAAAATATGATGCACCTCTGTCCCGGAACAATCATCTGCGTGGTATCATCCATTTAAAATTGATGGCGGACTTCGTGCATATGTTGAATTCGTTAGGGTAGGAAGGCTATGCAGAAACATGACCCTGATGCTCTGTACCACACAAATATGAGAATCACCACTCACGATCCAAGAGGAAAATACAAATAGCCTTATTCAGCAATGAACAATCGCTGGCTGAATCAAATGGTAAATTATAAGAAACAGCGCATGTCAAGTGGAGTCTGAGAGCGGAATTCTAGATAAAACCTGGTTTGTTCTTGCACGACAAAGCAACATACGAATGCGCGTTTGTAAGTCATGAAACTGAGAATAGAACCAGGTAGATAAGACGGGTCAATAGGAATTTCGCTCCACTAAAAGCATTGTTCCGGCCACGTATCTTGCCGAGTGCATTTACGTTATTCGAACCCTGAGCTATGGCGCAATTTGAATTGGTAAAAACAGTTCACAAAGTTTTTACATACCAGACACAAGTGCTACAATAGGGTTCTTCTATACTACTTCTTAAGCAGGATTATCTCGTACTATCTCGTATCAAAGGATGGCCAAACTAAATCATTAGCCCCTGTACTACGCAAACTAAAAAGTAATACTTACCAGAGTTGCGAAATTTCTTGGTCGGATGAATATACAGATTGGATTGTATGAGGACTTTTGCATATGTTCCATACCATGGATATCCATATCCATAAGAATTATTCGTTGAGACTTCAAAACCCTGTCCAATTCCTCTTTGCTGTTATAATGAGAAGATGTGTTTATTACTATGTCCACATACAGACCGAAACTTTCTAAACATGCATTAGTGTTACGGAAAGGGAAAGAAGTAAATATTTTCAAAAAAGTCGGAAACTAAATGGATGGAAAAACAATTCCAGGCCGCTAATGGAGCAATTAATTATGGGCGTTTGCGCAAACGTTGGATGTGTTCCGAACTGAATGAGACCCATTTATTCAAGAAGGAAACATGATTTTTTAATTAAAGGACTAGCAGAAGGTTCAAAAACTATGCATCAACAAAGAGTGGAGTGAGCATTCAAATGAATAATCAAGTACGTTACGAAAAATCCTCTCACGCAGTATGTTTCTAAATGTAAACACGTTTATAAAGTGCACATTCCGTAGTAACTTCGGGGAAAACAAACAGGGGTTTGCAGCTTGATAACCTCATTCATTCGGTAGCCTCAAATAAGTGCTTAACCAAGGAGTCAAAAGCCTCACATGCAGATTCAAGAGAACTATTGACCTCACTGACCTCTTCCTCTATCTATCTATCTATCTATCTATCTATCTATCTATCTATCTATCTATCTATCTATCTATCTATCTATCTATCTATCTATCTATCTATCTATCTATCTATCTATCTTATCTATCTATCTAATCTATCTATCTATCTATCTATCTAATCTATCTATCTATCTATCTATCTAATCTATCTATCTATCTATCTATCTAATCTATCTATCTATCTATCTATCTAATCTATCTATCTATCTATCTATCTAATCTATCTATCTATCTATCTATCTAATCTATCTATCTATCTATCTATCTAATCTATCTATCTATCTATCTATCTAATCTATCTATCTATCTATCTATCTACCTATCTATCTATCTATCTATCTATCTAACTACCTATCTATCTCTATCTATCTATCTATCTATCTATCTACCCATCTATGTATCTATCTTCTTATCTGTTAATTTATACGTTTATGCAATCTTCTATCCAGTAGGTTTATGTGGATGCGTACCTATATATCTCTCTGTATCGGCCCATCTTTATACCTGTTTATCAATTTGTCTGTTTATCCACTTGTCTATCTATCCTTTTGCATGTCTCAGGGCCAGTTTGCAGCTCAAGTAAGTGAAATTTATCCTTGCAGAAGCCTTTGTTTTTTGTTGTCTTTTCCATTCGTATCCATATTCTTTATAGTGGATAGCAATTCGGCTCATAATTTCTCATAACCCTTTACGATTTTTGACATAGTTCCATTTTTAGTATCATTTGCAGAAACGTTCCATTTGCATAGTTTCTTTGGCACACCGTAACTTTTACAAGTACTAATTCTGCTAATGACGTGTTGAAACATTGTACTTTAGCCGCATTGTATATATTTTGTACAAATCAACTGAATTCAGAAATTTTTGCACAGTATATTCGTTTTGTTGATCCGTGACGGAGGCAGGCATTCATAATGTAATTTCCGAATCATCGATCATCACAGTAGCTTATTTGAACCGGCGCAACACTAAGAAAACCCAGAACACCGACAATGACGCAAACCAGATGACATTGGATCACGTTATTCCGAATGAATAATTACTGACATTGGAAGTTTGAAAGTTTTTACTGAGTAAGAAAAGCGTTCAAATAACAAGTGATTCCGGCTGTGTTTTGGTAAAGGTGAGTGAAGCTCAGTAGGAATGACAGATCTTTTTTCAATCAACAACTGAATTTTCAAAAATGGCGAAACGTCAGTAAACCTTGGAATCCAGTGGAACAGCTTGAGAAGAATGTAAATACTATTATATATAAATATATAATTCATGTGTAAGCTGTAATGTAATGGTATATGATATAATGTCAAAAGCTTGGGTTTGGGATTTGTTTTTGTGCCAGCTTTGTTAATCTGTTTGACCTCTCAAAAGGCATTAATTATGCCAGCGTTTTTTAAGAACAATCGGGCAAGGGGTAAAAACAGAGATCTCCTTCAATGGCTAAACTAAAGAGCCGATGTTGCCAACCACATTCCGGTGCTCAAACGTAAGTGCGCTCATTAATCAGATAAGAAGAGTGATTTATTAGGGTCACAGTTAAAAGAGGTCAACCTGATTACATGCACAAGACACAAACTGCAGGCCGTCAACTACCGTATGCAGCCAGTCTTTCAACTTGTCCAGCCTTCATTACAGAGACATAGTAAGCTCCAATATAAAGTGTATAGTAAATCCCAAGTTCATTCTCACATAATATATCTCCATTTAACTGTTGTTTCGATGAATTTATCTGGATCAATAGGATGTTTGGAATATAACAATACACAAATCCCACAATCCTTGCATTGTTATCAGTTTCCATATGTAGGAAAAAAAACGAAAGGTCCCAAAAAACTGGTGCTAGCGTCAAACCGATTAGGAGACTGAAATTTCTGAAATTTCTATAGACACTTACCTCGTCCCATAATAGTAACCAGAAAAGTTTCCATGTTCCACAAACTGCTCTTTTTGTACAGCTTTTTGGAAATCATCTTCAGACACAAAATAATAATCTGTTGGGAGGAAAGACGATTAAGGCAGATTAAATTGTTAATCATCTGTGGTTTGACGAAAGACCTACTATATGGATTTTCATCCGTGTTAAAATTATTGGGCAGGGAAGAAAATAAAATTAAGAAAAATCACTAAAGATGTGCAATGATGATTGTCAGCAACCATAAATCTATTAGACTTTATGTTTCGCAGTATTATTTAAGTAGTTGGCTGTCCAAAACTGATAACTGATTATTATTATCATTTCTAAGAAAGTCCTCGTGGACGTTGAAAAAGCACTCCAACTAGTAGGAAGCTTTTACATTGGAAAAGGCTGTATCCAAACTACCTGAGTGAAGTCCTTGCGATATTATATCTCAGTAATTGACAATGGATCGTGCTGCTAATCGAGAGTCTAGAGATCCGATAGTATTCAGGTCATGTTTGAAATTTTCGACTTCGAATGTCCCGCGACCCATTCAAGGGATCGCCTTAAAACATGCAAATTCAGCTGTTCACTCCATCAGGGCTTCTTGTAAAGTAAACTAATGAAATATATAAGCATAATGACTACTGTCTTAGGCCTTATCTTGATGCCCGCTCAGCTTGATTCGCTGGTCAGTACATATTTTAACATAGATTCCATGAAAACATTAGTGTTGAAACGGAAAGAAGAGCTACTCAGACACTGCACTATCCGTATTGCTGACAAGTTTTGATGATATGGCAATAAGTTCACTTGTCATTTGGAAAGGTATTGAAGTCAATTTTATTAAGAGAGTAGCGTAGAGATCCTAAAGCCACAAGTTAAAGGGCTGCTACCTAAAAGTTGAATATAAGCATAGTAAACCTGAGCTCTAAGGAAGCTTGGCCAACTAACTAACTACCCACTTCATGTATACATTATCTTCTGTATTGAGGTTTTCTTGGGATTCTTACATCCTACCTAACAAGCCCAGCTTTATGTCCCTTTAGCGTGGAGCTTTATAGTGAACGCAATAAACGTCAAGCTAATGCCTAGGCTGATGGAGCCACGTCAACGTTTTTGGATTTTGATGTTCACCCACAGATTTAGAAAAAATCTAAATTTCAATCTACACTTGAGCCGTTTATTTGGTTAAGCAAGCACACAACTTCAGTTAGTCTAGATACAAGGTCCGCTTTCTTACATCATGCATGGAACGCTACTCGAGAGGTAGTCCGCACAAGTCCTTGTTAGTAATTTCCAGGAATTAATAAGTCAGTTATATTGGAAAGGAACGCTATTTATTGTCTCAACAGCAATGAGACGAGAAAAAAAGGGTTAATAGTGTATTCCCGCAGGTTTCTTTTAGACTGCCAATTTGTGAAAAGTAGGATTCAAACTAACATTGATTTGTTTCTTAAATGTTATTGCAATATTCAGCCACATTCACATACTGAAATCAATCTAATGGAAAAGAACAAATCTGCCAAGGTTATCAGCAATTCGAAAATTTACAAAGCACGAGCAGCTTTATCGGCTCTAATATTGGAACAGGAAGAAGAGTCCTTTGGTTTTGATGAGCTGTCTCTGGGACATTTACTCATTCTAATGAGGTCGACAAGTTAGTTTGAAACTTATGGTCGACCGGAGACACTCTAATTTTTCAATGTCGCTAGGCTGACAATTATAGACAACTGCGCAATATGAAAGATAGGAATAAATCGACAAAAACCAACCGTCGTTTACGAAAGATGCAAGAGTAGTATTGCAGTTAATCAAGTAAAGACGGATGCATCGATGAGTGAGCAGAGGTATTGCGTGTTTGAATAAAGCTTTTTCGTCATTGTGGTCAATTCAGGGCGGCCTTGGTTCACAACTTCCAAAGATGCTGGCATTGACTTATCATTTCTGGCCTTGTTAATTTCAGCTAACCTTATAGGCAAACGTATTTGCAACATTCGCTTGAGATTTCGGACCCAAAAGCCGTAGAATTTTAAATATTATCGTAATCCACCAGGCATTCTGCCAGATGACATGTTTTTACCTATTATTTTGGATACTGGACTCTTGGTCCACGCCATAGGAGCAAATAACCCCTTTGGTGAACTTCAAAAATAAAATGACAAGTCCATCATTCAAATGTTTTCTGAATACAACTCATCTGATTGAGTTGAATGTGGACTGAACACCTGATTGTGAGTGTGAACGCAAAAGTGCAACTTTTCTTTGCCAGCTGGATTGTTATACTTCTTGTAGGACTAAATCAAGTAGACTAACGTCGGTGCTATGACCGCCTAGTTTACTTGGACTCCTATTTCTTTATTAGAAGCAATGAGAGCAGCTGGTGTCTTGCACGGTGTTTCAGTTTCCTTTTATGAGAATCTGTGAACATTCATGCTGACGCTTGAATATAGTGCGCTGAATATTATTTCATGTGAATCTAAACAAGGTTTTTGTAGATGGTTTCACTGCCTTACCCGGTTTGGCCACATTAGTTTGATTTTCAAGCAGGCTTCGTCATTCGTGGATTTAGTATGTCAATGCCGTTAAATTAAATGGATAGTGTTACATGTGTGATGTGGTCTACAACCTCTGTATGACCCTGCTCAACAGACGACACTCTTGCACGTGAGATTGCAAGTAATCCGCTCGGTAGCACATTGGTATTTGAACAAGCACAAAACCAGTCATACTAAGTGAATAAAATTAACATCACAGCATCTGCTACAATGATGAATTCACTGTCTCATAAAAATAGGCCATTTTATAAATGTCCTCGGCAAGCGACACGTGCGGCTTATGAGAAAATTTGAAAAAAAGTATACCTTTGCATTGTCAAAAATGTCAGTTGAATAGATGTTGGTACAAACATCTTGCGAAGTCTTGCATTTGAGGAAAATTTAATGGCTAAAGGAGGCAGGTACACTGTGTAATAGAACGTCATACATATGCAGACCGTAGCAAACACCCGACTCGATAATTTGCTTGACCGATTGTTCGTAAGTGTACAACGCTCCTGAGGCGTCCGATTGTCCCCAGGGTATTTACGATACAGGCATGTAACGATAATAGTTGACGTCAGCGACTACTAAAGTAACAGTTGCACATTATTAGGCCCGATGTAACAATGTAGGCAACAAATGAGGGCAGTTCGCTAGTTCTTGCTTAGCAAGGTAACCAACACTCAACACCATCGATCTCTGCAAATACAAGCCCTTCTTAATGGATAAATTTGTGGATTGTGCGAGATTCTAACTCAAGAAGCTTTGCATGCACCTGAGCTGTTGCATGACAAAAAGATGCTGACTTTCTCTGTAAAATTATCGATGAGGGCTGCAGTCGTGGTAATGAAGTTTTCTGTCAGCCGTTAATTTCCCAACAGCCAGGCAAGTGATGTTGCTCAGTGATCCGTAATTTTGGGCTTGGTGACAGAAAAATCCAAACAATTTATTCTACCATGGTTATAATGGTTTTGAATAGCGCGAAGATATCCCCTTTAGAAAGCTCAGCACTATGCAAAATATATTAGAGAATGTTACGCAGCGTACATATACCAAAGATGAGAACAACTGCTCCACAATAGTGATCAGCAAGACGAAAAGTCAAATAGTTTGGGAATAACTATAAGAAGTTCGGTAAAATCGTCAATGACCACAGTGCACGAAGCTTCGTTTGGAGACCAGATAGCTTGTTTATTCTGCCTGCGTAGAAAGATAATCACTAGCCTTATACTGCTACTTTTAATTTACGAAACCATGAACTCAGTTATCGTTGAAGTAACCCGGTTGCGATACCAAAAGATCTTCAGTACAAAGACGTAAACACGATGGATGCAAGTAAATGCTGAAAACGCTGAAAAACGTGAACGACCGACCGCAAGATTTCACTAAATGCAGTGCTCAGTGCAATGTAGCGGTTTCATCCGATTTGTTTGCCAGTTTATTTCCGGAAGCAGGAAACGGACTGCACTAAGTGAACTAATGGTTGGTATACCAGTTTCAGCAGCCATTAAATCTTGGCTTTTCCCACATTTTGTCATACATATATGGTAGCAATTTTCACTTGAAATCGAGAAGGCAAAAGGATCTGTTCATTTGCTGGAACCGAGTGTCAACCGAGTTGACACGCAAATCACAAGTAGCATTCATTCGACAACATAACGGCTTAATGATCCTGTGATTTCTGTGGAGCGCTCACCCGTTTTGTGCTGAGAGATTCACAGACGCCGTACGTCTTTTTTGTCCTCTGTACAACCTGTCAAAGCCGTCCATGTCACAAACCCATAGAGAATTGCACACCAACAAACTGCAATAGGGCCTTTGCGCACGATCACCCCCGGATAAGGATGCGCAGTGTGATCGACTTGCGTTGTTGGAAGATATAGCAATACGCGAATAACTAATTTGTGGCTGTCTAGCTATTTGGGTTACCACGAATTTCTCAATTAACGCTTTGCCAACTCACGAACCTATTTGTTGTGTAACATTATGTAACTTAAAATGTCAAACCGCGACACGGGACTCTAACTCATTTGCTCTAAACGAATTGTTCAACGAGATTTTTTTATTTTGTAAGTGATGTAGTCGATTCCAGACAGTTGTCATTCACAGAAACAGCGTTAATTTGTCTAGGATGGCAAAATGTTCTATAGTTAGACATGGTTTTGACCAAAGTAAAAGCAAGTTTTAATATATTTGGTCTGGCTTCGACAATCAAGAATACTAGTAAGTATATACTACGAATCATCTTTATATAGTTTATAATACAATAGCAAAGAGCATTTGAGAGAACATGCTGAGGCCTAATGAGAAAAAAACAAACAAGCTTTGTGAACCTTCACCACACCCGGGAAAATAATTTACCGCACTATTATGTTGGTAACCAAAAGGCAATAAAAGCAGATAGTCCGAATGAAATCTAATTGAAAGTCAGTACCCACATCTTTTGCAGAATATAAGTTTAGCAACTAATGGATGACAGCGTTTTACTTTTCGTACTTTCATTCTCATCTACCGTCGCTTTAATATAGACCATCAGAATAAAAAAAATCTACCTACAGTCGGAATTTACAAAAAGCTAGTGTTGCGAAATGTGTCAGCTCCTTAGTAGAACTGTAGAAAGCTGAAAGTCCCGTGAAATCAATCATCCAAATTTCCGTTTGTAATATGTATAAAAACACTGAGTAATGTCTCACAGGTACAGAAATATGCTTTAAAAATTCATATCCATTACCTACTTAAAATGCCAAAAGTTGAATAGGCACAATCTATGATGACCATTTGCGCTTTTGGATTGCTAGTCTTTGATAGATGAGGGAACAGATGTTTTTTTTTAAAAAAACTTCCGTGATGGGGTTATAAAACATCTTTAATAGACACCTGACCAAAGCTGTTTAGTTGTTGCGTTCAAACATACACTTGGTCGAGAAAATGAGAAAATTTCACCAGTGTGTAACCAAAATATGGATATTTTGTAGTCAAGTGACAACAGCGAAAACGTCTAGACGAAGGCTCTACAGACTTGGACATTTCAGACTATTCAATTACCCTTGCCATAAATTTCATCTGGTCGTTTGGGTCTCGTAGTATCTGTAACGGAAATATGAAAAATGTATTAATGATCCGTGTATTGCATGATGAGTTACGATGACGTAAGTATCATTAAATTGTGCTACGTGGTCCAAACCTAATAACAGGGTATTCTAATGTCTGTATTTAGTGCGGTAAATTTTCCATGAAAGAGTGCTCAAACAAAATGGACTGGCCAGTCCAAGTTTATTCGGGTTCTGGAGTTAACAAATACTGCATCAAACCGATTTTCACAAAATTCTAAAGGCGTAACAGTTTGATACTCTTAACTAATAAAAAGTGTCAAGAACCATCACGTATAACTGAATCATCGGACTCTTGGTGGATAATTGCTTTGGAAATATCCTTAGTGTACGCAAACGTGTTTAATTTTTATAGTAAGAACGGCTAATTCGTAGCGCTTGATATGTTCTCCGGAAAATCACTCGAAGTTATCACGAAGTAAACTCTTCGCATGTGTTTATGGGTCAAGTGAATGAATTTTTATGGGAATACCGGATGAACATCGCCATATTCTTGTTTGTCTGACATGCCGAATTTAATTTGTCTATGTATATCTCAGTACTGTTAGTGGAGTCTGCTCCATTTCATAAGATTTGTAGCGACAGTTTCGTTATTGTTTTTGACTGTTCTGCTTTCGATTAAAAACAAGAACGATTCTTCAGCTTGGCTGCTTCGCCAGTTGAATTAGGACATCAGTACAGCTGAAAATTATTCACCCGTAGTAGATAAGCGGAAATAAGCTCTTTTGAGTGCTAAAAAATAGTCAGAGTGAATCTCAACGTAGGCAATTAGATCTGAAGCTGTTTTATTTATAGACGAACGAAGACATTTAGATGGGCTCTTTTTTAATTGATATTATCATACCACAGGACTGTAAATTTCACTGCTGTCGATATCGTTGGAAATTAGAGTAAACGTTAGAAAATTGGAGACGTTTCTGATCCTGCTTGATCCTGTTAGGTTCGGAAATCCTTAGGTTATTATTGAAAATGACAACTTCGATACTCGCCTGATTGCGTGGAACACCCCATTTAGTGAAGAGAGTCTGGTGGTCGGACATTTAATTTTCCAGTTTTTGCGGCAGGAACATGCCCGTCTCGAGTCGAGTTGCTCACAGAAAACAGCTGTTTATTTTCCAGTGAGTTTGGTTCGGTTTCCTAATTAAATTTCCTTTGATCAGTTGGGACACGATATTATCAACTGAGCCCCTAATATGAATTTATATAGGCAGAATACCAAAACTAGGGGTTATTTATCATGCACGGATAGCGCCTCTAACAAAATTCAGTTTGGTCATATATTCTGACAGAGGTGCAAACGGCAAATTCTTCGATTTAAACTAAATTCGATACTTACTTTCCTGGGGGACGCATAACTTTAAAGTTCACGGCGTATACAAATCTTAAATTTCAGCTTTTTAAGTCGAGGTTTATTCTGTGTTCCTAACTACCAACTCCCAGAACACCGACTGCGGAACCGACTTATGGCGCCAGAAGACGTCAGCTCACCAGTCAGAAGCTTGGCATGTGTTATGCACCTTGCCGGTGTTAAGCCTGATTTGTAGAAACAGCAGGAGCATGGTTAACTGGCGAGCTAAATGGCTGCAGTTAAATCACCAAAGAACTAAAATAATGTATCGTTTTGAGTTCTATAGCAATGGAGCTGGACGCGACAACGTCCACTCCCAGTAGACCGACCAAGGGGTTTCTAAACAAAACAAAAAGGCGACAGCTCACTCATTTAGACAACTTTACCTGGGTTGCTAGACGTAAATTGATCTTAGCGAGATAGATGACAGAGTTCGATGCCAAAATTCACTGTGTGTTTCAGGGAACAAGATTCCGTACCAAGCACTGTGGCAAAGTTTTGTATCAAAAAAAGCGACACCACTTTAAAAAATTGCGGAAAAGTAATCTGATTTCACCGCTTCTAATTTGTCACGTGGGCGAACAGGTGGAGCTGACGAAGTACGTCCATTCGCGAACTACATGGGTTTTGAAATTGTGGCCCATCGGGTTTTCATATTCCCCGAGTTTCCAGCGATGTTATTCTCCACTTAAGCATGCAATTGAAGAATTGCACACGTGGAAGATTTGGCTTGAAATAGAGTGTTTTGCCAGTTGCTTAAATTATGCTATTTACGTAGAAGTTAAAGTTGACGAAATCTCGAGAAATATATCTCATTGATAGATTTCGAATAGAGGAAAACCGGTAGTGTGCTGTCGGTGTGCTTCCAACCAACATATTTGTGGTTGTTCTGTCAGGAAGGATGCAGCTATTTGTGTGCGAGCATGTATGTAGGTAGTTATTGCTTCGCGATTGTTTCTTTCCGACCACTCTTGTAATGTGAATTTTGAAACAATGAGTTGTGTGCCAAAAGTTAATCAGTAAGTTACCGTGCTACACTACATTGTTGACTAAAACACATGTGTTCGAATAGGACTATGAATTTGTAACCTTTTGTCTTGGTAAACGAGTAATTGACTCTGTCCTTAATTTGATGGGTATTTGCTGGACCTCTATCCCTGAATGACTCTTTAAAGCCTTATTTGCATCTAACCCCAAAAGAAAAATTCCAAATTTGGCAGGCAAGTTAATTACTTACCCATGTTTCTGACCAGCACCATGAATGTGGCAAAAGTTTCAGCTCAAAATATGATGGGCTATCGAGTTTGGAGACTAAGCATCAAAGTACTAAAGATTTCTCTCCAGTGAATAATTAACGCTAAACGTGGGTTCATATGCAAGCCTCTTGCGTGAATCTAAAACTGCAACTCGTAATCGGGGAGAGTTGAAGATCTGTGCGAATGCTAACTTAGTCCCCGAGGAAATTCTGATCAACACGAAGTTAGATTCCAATGAACGCCAATGTGTAAACTGTTCAAAAGAAGGAGAAGGCAAATATTGGGCCAACTTACGTGAGACACAATAACTGAATGCATGTGGGTATTGTTGAATCAGCATTCTAATAATGGTGCTCTTGCCGCATCCAGAAGGGCCACATATAACTACTGGACGTTGAGCTCCGCCTGATGTGTTGTTCATTCCTAAAAAATGTAACAACGAATACTCGGAAATACAGGATTGCATTTTGGATTATGAAATAGGGCTCAAACTTGATGGGGTCGTAAATATCTCTACTAATTTGGTCGTCCTAATTTCATCAAACTGACTCGGCAGATAGCTTTGCATCGGTCGACCTGCTGCAGCCAATGACCCTACGAAAAACTGCAATTAATTGCACTTCAGTTACGTTCAAACGGTTATAGCCCTGTCCCACTACAACTATTCTGGCGATTATACTGAATTGCTATGAATATCAGATATCCACTGTTCGGTTGTAGACATGACCATTAATTTACACAGTTCACTGCCCTTAATAAGGATAAACCTCATGTCAAATACTTCCGATTTCTGGCGTGGACGAAGCAGAAGAATTCCGCCTGTGCAGCAGTAGAATTGTTCAAACGAGTGTGACGTGAATCTCGGTACACGGGTCTCGCAACCAGATTCAGCTAGTCAAAAACTTACTAGCTGGTTTAAAGCTGACTGCGAAGTCGTGACAGGCGAATCAATCAATTGGCACAATTAGAATAGCCACTGAGTCATCGTTTCGAAACGCTTGGCGAATTGATCAGATTGCCCAGGAGTGAACATCGTCAGCTCAACCATGGTAATTCACAAACCCTCATGTTTAGGTGACATAGGAGTAACAAACTTGCCTCACAGGTCAGATATTCAGTGTTCAAATCCATACACGACTAGGGATACGTACTGCAGCCTCTTAGTATGGAATCATCGGAATTCCACTGCAGCCGTCCGACCTGGCCCTGAGTCAGTCTTTTCCTTTGCGTGTGCTGAGTTTAGCATGACACTACCGGTTGGACCGGTTAGTGTGTCCACATTTTAAAAGGAATCGATTGGGCTGTCTCCAGAGTAGGTGTGTGTACACACGTGGTTATGTAGTGAGAAAGTCTATCCACCATAACATCTGTTGACCAGGTGGGCGAGAATGTAGTTCCGAGTGATCTGGGTCGTTGTCATGCCGGTGTTTGGTAGACATTCTAGTACAACAGACGTAATGAGTGTAGTATTTGAAGTTCAACGCCACGGCTAGCGCACAGCTGTAATCACTAAACGATTTTATTCATTAGAAAGGTTAACCTAAGTCACATTTCAATATTTTGTGTCCCAACCGAATTGAGTCCAACACGAAAGCCACGAGACTTCATAGATTAGACGAGATCCAATAAAAAGTTCCCAGATTTTTTCAAGACAGACAACAGAAACCGAAAGAAATGCCTAGAGTTTATAATTTGCTTAAGTTTGGTTAATACTTGGAACAATCAAGACTACAGGTCAGTCCCTTTTCAACATACTACAGGAGAGACATAACCACAACTACTCTAGTTAAAATCAAGTGCTTTTTTGGTGACAGTTCCATCTACTAACTTCATTTTGCCTCCCAAGTGAGGATGAAGTACACTTTGCGCTAGAGAAGCGGTTTGAAAACTACCTTAGGCGAACACATCCCTTTACGGCTTCAAGGCAATGATGAATAGGAAAATGCAAAGTCGTGGTTTTTTTATTTTCATCGGTACCGTAAACATCCCTTTGGCAATAAGAGTTAGATGTGATGCGATACTGACAACCGATAAGAACTACGAAAATGCAGTCACCTTGCTTTATTTAATCTCGATGAAACGTCAGTGATTTTTTGAGGTCAATTGCCGGCAAATTTTCGATAAAATCCGTGCAATATACGTGAAAGACAATACATTTTTGGTTGACCTGGTTAGAAAACTGAAGCGAGGTTGTCACCGGTCTGGTTCGTTCTTCGAAGATGACTCACTCACATCGTCTCTTGCATATGGCTAACCCCATTGCCTTCAGATTTCTTTGCACGCAGATCTAGAAGGGGGCGAGCTCCATTGGACATATTTTGTCCATGATAAGTTCATTCTGATATTTCGTGCTGTAATAACTGTTCTATGTTCGTTAACTTGCAGGACAGTATTTCACCACGTATAGAAGGGGAGGGGATTATGTGAACTTGATGAAAAAACAGTGATTGAATCCCAAAGTTAAGTTGCCTTCTCCTTATTGTCTGATGCACTAAGGCAAGTGACAAGTGAGCTGCGGACTCAGTGGTGCTCAACAAAATGCACTCGATTTCTCTGGGTGTGTTGCGGTTGTTTGGCAACGTTACCACGTTATCCGAACAGTGAAATCGAAGATAAGGATTCAAAGTAAGCTGTTCGGAATAACAATTAGTTGATGTCGCCCTCAAACCCAAAATTTCAGTACCTATTTCGGCTCAGTCGGAGACTCATGTAAAAATAGTAATGCGTCCTTGTGACCATAATCAATGCCCAAAAATATTCAGCCCTTTTAGCTGCACATACCCCCTTCTGGTTGCAAAAAATTTGCAGGTAAAATTGTTGTGAACTACGGAATTATTTGATTCAGTGGCCTAATTTTGTGAATGAATGTAGAGGGCTTTAATTTACTACGTCTAAATAAGCAAAGAAGTTAGGCCAGCCGTACATGCTGATGACAAAGGTGTTCATGAAACTGGCTATTGGAATTCATGCCCAGTTAAGTCGGCTCTTTCCAATAGGCAATTGATGCACGAATGTTACCGCAGAATGATGCGGAAAAAGAAACTAGTTGATTTGAGTCCCTCCTTCTGAGTGGCATCCGAAAGACACTCCGGGATTGTTTGTAAAAGTTACCACTCCCCAAGCTCGAATGCGCCATTCAAGTTGAGTGCTATAGATCGGAGACAGCTTACAGCTTATTTTCTCTAAATTTTGCACTTACAATTTTGCTTGTTATTGCTTGCTGCAATGGATCTTGAAACGAATGAGCGTTCTTGTCTAAAAGGATGGCTTTGTAAAATAAAATGGTACAAACAAAAATCATTGACATCCTATTGCCGGTTTTGGCTTGCTTAAAGATCACCAGCTAACTGCCGTTCACAGATTTTGTCGGCACTTTTACGCTAACCTCAACTGGATATTTTAAATCGGATGCTTTTAAAAAGCTTGGTTAGTTTTTACATTGAGCTTAGGCATGTGACGTGCATCAGCCTTTGTTTCTGCAGAACACGCAGGAAATGGCGGTGAGTGTATACAGGTGTTTTAGACAAGTACTCAGTAAAATACTTTACCAGTCTGATGAACAGAGGCATATTTGCAGGTGGATTTATTCTTTGAAACGCAAATCACTTGTTGAATAGAATCAATTGTTTAGGTATAAATTTAGAAAGATGAGAAATAATGGGGTGGAGGTAAAAACTTTTTGAACCTAGTGCTAATATAATATTTTACACAGAATTTATTTTTTGAAAGCAAAAAGATTGATGAATTCGAACTAGAGCGTGTCTATAGCATCAGTAATATTCACGGTGATAGGCTATGAAGCCCACTGGGTGAACATATCCGCGTTCTTAGAAAAATTCAATGATAAACTACTGATGGGTTTAAAACATTCACGAAAACCTCGACTTGTAGCTGTAACAAGGTTATTTCTGGACAAGTGCACGACACTATCTACATAAATCCAGTAAATTCCGTTACGCTTTGACAAAAACTTATTTGAGCTGACTTGCCAACTGGTTCGCTAAACAGAAAATCAATCATGAAGTCTCGTTGCAAAATCGATGTAATCAGTGAGCTATTTTCTCCCCTTTTGCAAACAAACAAAATAATTGCCGTTGTCACACGCCAACAACACGTTACCTGTAGGCATTTCGCTTCATGCATGGACAACGCTTATAGATTAGTTGTCATGGCAAACAAAGAAAACATCATTTGCATGAGAGGAAACCACATTCGGACGTTTAGATTGTTAGACCTGACGGAAGAACTGTGCTGCGGCATGCTGGCACTTCTTTTGCTCTTTTCGACCGTGGAAATAAAACATGAGTTTTCTAACTTAAGAGTTCAAACAATGTTGAAGAAATACTCACTGACTGATTTATGCCAGTCATCTGATCAATGTCAGGTTAAACGGCCTGGGCTCCAGTTTTTGCAGTGTTCACTTAGGTGGTTCGTTTGAGATGCAGTTGGGCTGCAACAAAAACTATCTTCAAAGCAGGATTGTGCCCGCGCCTTTTATAGATGTTGACGCATTCTCCTTTGAATTAAAGGAGTAAGAACATGTTCGTATTTCTGGGTGAATGGTAGGGGGCTGTTGGAATTTCAACCCTGCTCTGAACTTGATCGCAGTGATCTGAATGACCGTGCTTAACAGGGTACTCCTAGAAATTACAATTAATCTGGTGGAAAGTGTGGGAAAATTCCGTTCAATTCGAAACTGAAGGTGAAAAAGAAGTTACGTAGGGTGGGAGTAAGGCCATCAAAGTAACGCTGAAATTGCTCTGTTATTTATAACATCGTCATCAAATCGCTGACATAGTAACAATTTTAAACTTTCAACGATGTTTTAAGAGCCACGAAAATCTGTCCACAACGTTTGGTCCCAGGGCATCTTTCATCGATCTATTTATATAGATTTCCTTCAAATTCAAATCTATCATTGTTCCTGTAGAGTGAATTCGGGTTTTCAATTGAGTCAATAGACGGCCCTCGATTCCAACTATGATGGACAAAACGTTGTAGCACATATAGGTTTTCAGTTCAGCTTTGCGAGACCTGAAAACGTATGAGTTTGTAGTTAAACCTACTCATTTCTTGACGGCAATTATCCATTACCTTCATGCCTACCAAAAAAGATAGCCAAGTTATGGAGGCTTAATGGCGTTTTGATGGGGTTCTCAATCAGTTTTCACAAAATCACCTGATCAGCAGCTGCTGATCAGCTGACATAGTGCCACATTTACTTTCGCGGAAATGGCACAAATTTGTCTACTGCATTTTGACTCAACTGTCTCACGACTATCTTTGTCACCAGATTGAGGATTCACTCTATTTGAAGACGATAGCCTATTGCCAACAATTGCTAAGAATTTCGTCTGGAACTGTATCATTCAATAGAGACCTTGTATGCAAGTCGAGGTCGTTGCAACTTAACTGCACACGGGGACTGTGATTAACACAGACAGGAGGAAAGCCATTCAGCAGAAAACATCAACATGTCACGAGTAGTCCTAATTAATTCGTACTTACCTCCAGAAACTTTATAGGGTGAAAAAACCGCACATGTTAAGTACAAAATATTTGTAAGTCAAAAACTCTGCTGGAGACTTGGTCCAAATATTGGATAAACAAACAAAGCTAATCATTCCAAAGCCATCTTTTGTCTTCTGAAAAAGTTTCTTCTACTTTAAGCTCATGAGAACACATGCAGAGCTACTATACACCTTCTGGATACTTTAAGCTGCTTACACTGAGCTTAGTCCACAAACAACATTATTACAAACTGCTGGGCGGTTCCGGGTGTACACACACATAACATACACTACCTAGAGTCTGCTCAACCAAAAAAACCAGCCTGACAATCCTTGCACTTTTTTGGCAAAACCAACCGCTGCGCTCTGCTTGTTGTTAAGCAACGTACCTTGTGTCACAGACGGAGGCAATTTCACCAGCAAAACTCACACTTGATGAACTGTCACAACTTTGTTTTGCTTCCTACCAGTCACTTCGCTAAGACAGCTGTGCACTATCGGGAGAGTAACTTCTCCTTGTTGTATGAGTGGATAGTCTAGACGCCAGAAAGGATTTTGACTCCTCACTGGGGAATCCAACAATACACTGCAGTTTTGCTTTGTTTTCTGACATCAAAAACATTCACAAAATCTGATATCACATTCAGTGCAAGGCAGAATTCTCGCTCCCGATGACAGTGCTCTGTTTCGGAAATTTTTTTTAATTGGGCAGGTGTAATATCAGCTATGTCCTTTAGGAAAGACTATCCCGTTTGCCTCCTTTTCCTTCTGACCAAAGTCAGTATACATTTGAAGAAGGGTAGAATAGTTGTATTTCTCATCACATGACCTTAAACGAATGGCATATGAGACACGTTGTAAACAAGAACTGCACTATCAAGTCCTTAAAATTACAGACAAACGAGCGAAAGAACTCAACAAGCCAATAAGGATTTTAGAACAAAAAGACTAAATGTATCAAAAACATTCACTAAGCGGAATATATGCACTCGTGTCTCACCAGATAATCGAAAAATCAATTATCGGATCGTCTCAGTTCGGGACAAAAATTTATCTATCGAAAGGTAAAATACAAGCCAACTTGAGCAATCGTAAGCTCTGGAAATATTTTGAAATTTCAGACATTTTATTTTGAAGTTTGTCACTTCCACGTAAGCGGTAGAACCCGACAAAGTTTTGATTATTTCGAAATCATGCCGAAGAGAAATCGAATGCTATATCACTGACGAAAATCGTACACATAAGGATCACAGCAGCACATTGTGGACACAAGTGTACAAGTGACTGAATATCGATCTGCTGTCGACAAGCCCACTTTTTCTATTAGACAGTAAATAGCCTTCCCGAGGGTCTACACTCAGTGCAAATGGGCTGGTCACTTCCGGTGTACACAAGAATTTGTGAAACAAGTTGTTTCAATTTTTTTACCTTGTTGAGTGATTCATTGTTTTATCGGGAAAAAAATAGCTCCAGTTATGCTACGGGTGTGCTATTCACAACAAATGAGCGCTACACAGCGGGAAATTCCGTTGTTAGTAGCGTGAGGAGATTTGGGGATTTTTGCGAAGATTTCGTCCTGTAACTGAAGCTAATCTATGCACTCGGCTATCTATCGGTTTTTCAGCGGAGGTTCGATTCCCTTAAGAGACGAAATCCCCCAAAAATTTCCACGATGAGTGAAACTTCCATCTGAGACGTCGTTGCTAGAGGAGCCACTCAATAAGAGTGACCTTGTGATGTAGATCTCGTGATTGATGGATTAGTGCAGCAATATCCTGTCTAGGTACAACTAATCACAGTGCTGACCAGCCGCTTGTGATCGAAGGGTTAGGTGCTCGAACCGTTAGCCTGACGGTCGCGAGCTCGAGATTCTCCGGAGTCTCGCAAGATGCGCATTGATGAGGATTCCTAATAAGGCTAAAACGGATCTACAATGCTTCGGGGTTTTCTACTGTAGATTGACTTTACTCACAGACATTTCAGTACACGTACATGTACAGCCCCATACTGAAGTACGCTAATACAGTAACGCATTAAATTAACGTAATATTTAATAATGAAGTATAATGGTGTGTGATGGTAGTAGTACGCAACCAGACGACCAGACAAACAAACAGTTATTCATGATTTGCTCTTTTGAATCACCTTGCATGTGAAACACGTTCACGCGAGTCAATAATTCCGGAGACCATCTTGCACCGTAGCTGAAGAGCGTAAATCAAACGCGGGAATTCGGTAAACCTCCGATGCTTGTGCATATGCTTTTTTAATTTGGCAAGCACAAGTGACACTCAATATTGGATAAAATGGGAAAACTGTTGTGCAGTGACCATTTAACAGAACATTCCTTCCAACACAGTTGCATGTCTTGATTGCTTCATTTGAGACAGTACCTTCTGCACCGTAAACCACTCCGATTATCAAATTAGGTGACTATATCATGGATAATAATAGCGTAGTATGTATATATACAAATATATACCCATCCGGTTTACATAATGTTTCACCATGTAAAATGTATTGGAACAAATTTTAAAGAACAAAATTTTAAGTGCGTTCCCGTACGCTGTGCGCGATACGTATATTGCTCATTATGAACTACGTCACTCACATCTTCGCTTACTTTACGATCGGAATAGGAAACCCTGTTTCACGTCATTAGCACACGTGAGACCCTATTGGCTATGGGGGTTGATATCCCAAAATAAAGCACAGAGTTTTCGCAAGATACTCACATAAATTTATTTTCACGAACTCCATGTAAATTGTTTTATCGTTTCTTTGGTAAAGTGTTCATTGTGGTGGTCCGCTTCCATCTTGCAATACAAACACTGTCCTTTTATAAAAGTGTGCATCAACATTAGTGCTCAGATAAAAACGACTTGTAAATGTTTACAAACTGCGATTTCCGTTAAAATTTTAGAATTGTTTTTTCAGGAGGCAGTGTGATCTTTCAGATATTTCTGAAAGCTTCCGATGAATTCCTTAGTAGCACTTTTTTAGAGTTCGGTGCTGATGCAGAATGTTCGATATCTTAAATGTTAGATTCAAAAATTTTCTTGTGTGATTTTGGTTTTATTGCATACAATATATTTGAAAACACATCCGCTGCTAAATTACGGAATGGTAAATAGATTGACATAAGTGTGTGCCAATTAACGTTTGGGTCGTTAAAATATTTGCATATTTACCAGGACTTACTTCTAAATACATTAGGGTTCTGACAGTTTAGACTATATATTCGCACATTTGCCCGGCTGAATCAGGTGACCGGCCTGTTAGAAACGACCGAAAATACCACATTTATTTATCGGTTGTTTGGTCGCAAGTGAGAAGCATTCACCACCCACGTGTTCAGCGATTGGTCAACAAAGGAAGAACTAGATGAGTTAAGGCAGATTGGATGGGAGGGTTGGAATGTAACACACAATTGGTACGAAGGGTATGAAACTAAAAAAGAGTAAGTGTATGACTTTGAAAGTGAACGCAATGAAAATTGTTGATATCTGATGACTGGAAGGAGGACCAATTCAGCAGAAAACAACTAAGGTGGAAAAGTGTTAGTTCAGCAAGTGACTAGCTAAAATGGTGCTGATAACAACCCTCGTACAATGTCGTGTAGCTTTTCTTACCGCGAGTAAAATAAGAGGGTTAATTGAGTGGGAGTTTTCTGGGATTAGGACGCCGTCAGCTCCAGCGTAATTTGTCGACTGAAACGATCTGAGAGATTAGTGAAGCCAGTACATTTATACACAAAGGATCTTCCCCAAAAAGGAAGGTATTTCCTTGAAATTATGCAGATGGTTGTCAGAAAGTTAGTTAACGTCCAAAGCAGGGGTGATCCACTCAGTTCAATTATGCCAAGAAATACTCTCTCCAAAGGCTAGCTAATCCCAGCTGTGATTGAAAATCTGCGTTTAACGGAACGATACTTTTCCAGTTGATATTACCTTAGACCCTACCATACCATAACCTCAAAAAAGGACTGGAATTGGGGAAAATGTCACTGAAACCTAATGATTTTTCAAAATAAAAAAACTGAGAAAACGCAAGCCTGTCATCCATCGTGAATTGCTATCCACTTCGTTCGGAAACGTCTGCCCTTTCAGCAAGTTGATGTCAATCAGTTTTTCTCAAGATTGCTGCATTCATAAAATATCTATTTCAGTCTATGCCGTTCCATTCCATTCACTGGAATTACTCCCCAGTTCTCCAAAGTAGCGAGCAGTGCAGAACACAGAAAGGTCAAGGTTAGCCATCGCGGAATATATGGAATTGACGTATTGGCAAGTGGTGAGAGAGGAAATAGTCCAGGTAGCATTCACCGAGAGATAACTTGGTCCTGACATTAAGCCATCGCGTTAACCAGAAAGCTACATGATCGTCGTTTTTTAGGATTGAGTGCAACAGCCATTGTAGAAACCCCCCGCACAACATTTACTTGTATTTGCAGTTGACAAAGTTTGTAATGTCAATCGGCAGAAAGGCTTGTGGGATGTGATCTCCGGACAAATAGTAATATATGTATCATTTTTTCGGGGGAAGGCACACCACTACTTAAAATTAAGATGCCTGAAAGATCCGGTGGCCGTACAAAGAGTAGATAATAATTTCTACCAGGTAATTTTTTCATATATTAAACAACCCATCACCCTTCCTGTATTCAGCCCAGTAAATACTAGATGATCTGAAGGATCATGCGTAGAGCGTAAATATTGATCTATCTTACACGTTTTTTCCGCTTGCAGAGCAGAGTGGCAATTAATATGGGCAAATTTATAACATCATATTTTAATGCACACCCAAGTCTATAGTACATCACGAACTTCGAATGCCAAATGAAGAGTCGACATGTCAAATAATCTAACAGCAAATATTTTGAAAACCACGGTCTCATGTACTACCCGCTGTTTAGATTACAGCTTTCGGTGATGTGAGCGCTTAAAGCTATTTCCTGCGTTCTCCAGAGTAATCGGACGCATGTTAATCCGATCGATTTGCAAACCCCGTTACATTTAACCTTTCTCCTGTTCTACAAATACTACATAGTATCCCCCGAGGAGAAGCAACCGTTTTAAGGGGAAGTCTGCGAAAAAATAAGACTTTCTTCCAGCATTCTACCCATCCGTGGACGAAAGCACTTGGAACCATTTGCAGTCAGTTAAATCATTAACCATATTCTCAGGATGAAACCTCACATTGAGAATATCCACTGCCACCAACTCATTTTGTCGTGCAACAACAAATGACCCGATGGGCCTTGATTGATTACCTGAATGTTTAATTAATTTGGTTACTGACTGATTGGTTATTCTGGTTAGATTGATCGATATGAAAATTCAATTACCTGAAGCATGCTTTTTTATTTTAGTAGCTAATGCTATTGGTA